TGCAAGTTTTCAGGTATTTTTCTGTCAGTTCATACACTAATGAACTTTCTGTTATTCCAGTCATAAAATGTTGAATTATAGATAGATCGCAACGTGAGGTTACATTGTTGCTATCATCTTTTGTGTTCGCCTTCATGAAAGGAATTCTACTCCCAATCCAAGCAAACATTTTGGATTAAAAAAAAAATTTTTATCCCAAAATGTTGGAGTTTTCCGACATTCGTCTTCATGAGAGTGATGAAGCTCTCATTTCGAACGAACGGCTTAATTAATAAAGATAATGATTTTTTCATCGCGATAAACCGTATTTTTTGTAATTATGTAAATACCGTAAGAATTTTAATTCATCTACGAAGAGGTGGCCGATGAAGCCTACTCATTCCATTAGAATTATTGACCAAACAAGTGAGATATTTTGTTATTTTGTTAAATGGAAAACTACTAAAATTCATATTCAGAATGTAGTCATTTTGTTTTAGGAAAGGGAAGGTTCGCTAGTGAAAATCGAGGACCGTTGATTTCGAAGAAATATGGTTACGTGATGATGGAATTACTACAACTGCTTAAACTAAATATGGGTAGCATTAAATGATCGTCGGCGATGTTGTGACATTCCCTTAAGTAACTACCGTATTGATCATGAAAAATTAATGTCTCGATGATGCTACATTACTGATAACTTTAATAACCATAATTTATTGTCAGTTGTAACGGTATTTTTTATCTGCTACAGGGAAAGCGCTATTCTTGAGTTTTATAAAAATTTTAAGATATACGTTAAATTTTTATTCTCTGTTTTCGTTACTTCTCATTTTTATTGTATTTTTCTATAATTTTTGAACTTCTGATATCATTACTAATATTGTACTTCTAATATATTCACTTATAATATCTGTAATACTTCCGCTATCTTTCCTGTTTTAAAGTTTGGTTGTATGTATGATATTCTGGTATTATTTGTTTCAAGAAAGTTGAAATAAATATTACGATTTCCTGTGACATGCTGCAACATTATTAGAAATAACCATTGAAAATTCATAATGATAGTAGAATTATTCAAGTAAATGTTGTGTATTATCCAAATAATCGAATTCTTGTTATTTGAATAGTATATCTCCAAGAAAAATGGTTTTAAACTCCGATGGAAGAATCTTAACCTAAGTCTGTTAAGGAGATAATGTTGATGCAAGTAAACATAATTCACGCTAAGACGACGTGTAAAATTCATTATATTTAATTTGGAATTTCATATCAAATTTAACAGGATTGTGTTTGGGTCGAAAAATGCACTAAAAATTAAAGATTTTGGTTGATTAGCATAAAAGGCGAAGTTTACATTGAATTGTTTCTATGCAGATATATTAAGTAAGCAATCAAACATTTTTATTCAACGTGCTGTTAGATGCAACATCAATTCAACGCTTGATTATACAGCAAAAAATTTGCGAATAGCATTTCATCGAAATAATCGTCGTAGAGCACACTAGACTACTAATTCATATGGTATGTTTCCATAAAATTATTTCTACAGAAATGCTTTTCAAAGCTTCAGTTGGAATGTTCCTTGGTAATGGAGGTTGTTCAGAACCTGATACTTCTGAGCAAAGTCTTTGCTTTCAGAACTATGTGGGTTTTTCTTTTACACAAATTGACAATTTTAATAATAAACTGGCACAATGAATATTTAATAATCAGCCAATCTTTTTTCCTTTTTTGTTAAGATATGCTGAACATTATTTCAAACAATTGATCGTTTACAGTTCATACCAAAATTTTGCTAAATCAGTCTGACCTCACACTTGCTTGCACCCAACAACTATTTGGTGTAAATAATAGCAAGTACTTAAGGTACGTTTTCCTGACAAAAATTTTACAATGTTTTCTCAATGCCTCAGTAAACGTAAAGTAAATTCACTGTGTTCAAATATATGTTAGTATTGCAAAATATACAGTCAACTTGACATTTACGCACCAAAAAAAAAGACTAAACTTTGCAATGTACACATTCGAAATCGTAAACGTGAAAAATTACGTAGTTATTACAAAGGAAGAAGGATTTGCACTGCAAGTGTACAACTTTTTATTGCTGGGAAAGAATAACGTTTTTTTGGGGTCAAAAGGATGAAAATTGATAAAATAGCTTTTGGTTTAACAATGCGTGAAATAAAAATATGTTTGGTTGTTTACTTAATATTTTAGCTTAAAAATTATAACGCTTCTTTTGTCACGTTACATTGCATAATCAGCTAAAACCTTTGGTCTTTTGGACACTTTTCGACCAAAATTCAATTCTCGTAGATATGCTATAAAATGGCAAATGAATGAATTTTCATTGCAGGTTTTTACATCAATTCTGTCTACTTTACTGCTTTCATGTCAGCGATAGACTTAGCTTCAGAATCTTTCAATGACTTTAGCATCATTTAATCGTAAGGTTTATTTCTCAATTGAGATGAAT